GCCAAATAAATAACTTGGACAATTTTTGCGCTGATAAATAATTGATATTTGATAGATTATAGAAAGGCTCCCTAAGTATTTAATTAAGTAACTAAATTAAAGAATTAAGTATTTAATAATAAAATTAATATTGATATAATAAGCTTCTTTAATAAATTTATTTGTTTAATAAGTATTGTAAATTATAATTAATTATTTCCTTAATTGACAGTATACAAATTTCTATATATGTATTGTTGTTCTACTTAATTGGTTTGTTTTTAATGGCCAGCCCAATTATGTAATACCAACACAGAAACGTCGGAGAGATTCACCTAATATTGATATTTCCGTGCGGCTTAAAACGAATCCAAATATTTAATCAGTGGAAAATTTCAGTAAATTAGTTAATTCCAATTTAAGCAATCGTACGAATAATTAGTACTGTTGAAAAAGGAGAAACGATTTAAAAAATTATAGAATTTACAGAATTCAGAATGTAAAAAAGAGGTAAAATTGAAAATTTACTGTAAAAAATGCTATTCAAATAATTTGTTTATCATACATATCTGCTGGCTATTGGCGAATATGTGCAAATATTTTTATATTAATAAAATTAATAGTTCTTTTTATAGATGAAAATTGGAGTATGAAGTTACTCAACTATGGTACTAGAATATATAACAAAATGATAAATGGAAAATAAATTTCAGCGCTTTATATTAATTGGAAAAAAACTATGATAGATATCGTCGTAATTCCAGTACAATAGGCAGACGTTGTCTCATCGTTTCAGTACGTCACGTTCAATGAAACAGCCGTGATCGTTCGTTTCTCGTTAGGCCATTATTTAAACAGTTATGCATAATTCTATTTGAATAGTAGATTATACTTTCATTTAAATTATACAGCTCGAAGTGAAGAAATAATTAATAATGGTTCCAATTACTGATGAAGCCTAAACTATTTTTAGATAGTTTTACAAAAACTTTCACTATAAAAGTGTCCAGTAAAGTCTCGTCTTTGTTCAATACAAGTGTTTGTATCAAAGAGTCTGGCCGAATAAGCATGGTAAAAGAGCCCCCAAACCAAATTGAACGGGGTTAATACCGCTCGATAGGTGGTTCGAAAAACCCCCTTTTCACAGAGTTTCAACCCGCTATCTCTACTACAGGGGTAATTACGGGGTGAAAATCATTTTTTGGTTTATCCTTAATATCTCCAGTTCTGCTCAATTAAAAATTATGAAAAAAATCATGGCTATTCTATCGATTGATATACATAGTCGAGAATTTTTTCAGAATTTTTGGATGCAAATTCGATTTTTAAAAAATTCGAAAATATTTCAACCGGCGATTTTTTGTCGAAGTTATCAAGTAACCACGTTTCTTTGTATACAGTATAAAGCTCTCAAAAGAACTAGTAATCTCTAATTTTTTCAGATTTTTCGAAGGGGCTGAATGTAGTCAAAAAAATAAAAAATGATCAAAAGATGGTGGAAAAGCTTTATATTGCCATAATTACTTACGTGACCATGTTCATATTTTTATAGCTGTAGCGTAACATGGTAACTATTAATGCGTAATTTTTTCAGATTTTTTGGAACAGTGTTTCTGGAAAAATTGTTAAAGAATTATTAATTCATATTTCCTAATTTTGGAAGCAGTGAATACAAATAATTAATAAATTCGATTTAGTCATTTACGTACTAATTACGACGCGGTGTCTCTCCTAGTTCAGACGGCCCTGAGCGCGCGGAAACAGCGCGCTGTGATTGGTCAGCGTTTTTCGTTAATAATTCAAAAACGAAGCCCCAATCGACATTTTTGCAGAGGAAATTGTTGTTCAGAATCGTCTCAGCTATCCCACATTTCCGGCTTTCACGCTATTTACTTCCGAAAGTAAACCACTTTTTATTTATTTACAAAAAATACATATTTTTGATGCGTGTTATTAGAGAATCATATTTTTAGTCTCTCGTGCCGACAGTTCGGCCATACGATATCAAAGTATGTATACTCAAGTGATTTCAGCAACCAATGACAGAGCAAATATTGCACGGTGAAAATGAAAACAGTCGGTCGGAGCATATGGAACTTTTTGTTGCTCAAGGAAACACAGTACCCGGCCATAAATCAATCAACAAAGAAAACAGAAACATGTGAAAATGTCTCGAAATCTCTGCGCTCGCGCGTTCGCAAAAACGCTCGCATATTTTCAGTTTTATCTTTAAAATCCACTACGCCGCGTGGACACCGCAGACAGTTAAAACAAGAATCGCTATTGATTCTGTGCTCGTTGCGCACCGGGGAATAGTAAACCGAGAAACATTAAGCATCGAAACGTTCGTTGTAAGGATGAATGTTGAATATCAATTCCTATCGCGGAATTTTCGATTGTTCATGACACGGTACTTCGCCGTGTGGATCCTTTCGCGGCAGAAGCGATTCTATTGCCGTGGCTGGAACAACTTTACGAACAAGCCGTAACTTTCATGCCAACTCTGCTCAGTTATCTGCGAAACACGCATTTGTCGCTCGCGGTCCTATAAAATGTTTACTGTTGTTATATCAAACGCAACTCCCCCAATAAACATTCCTCCGTAAAGTATCTGCAGCGATTTCATCATCGAACAATTATCATTTTACGATAGAATAACATTCAAATTTTTGATGGTCCGTTCTGTTATCAACGATTTTATCGAACTGCAACGTGTAACCACAGATCAGGTATACGAGACCTTACGTCCAATGTATTTTTTCGGCCTGTGGCGTCGCCTCCCATGCTCGCCATCAGAGGGCTCGCGCTCTCACAAGCGCTCGACCGACACCTCGGTTGCTATACAGGGTGCGGTCCAATAACATGTACAAGCGGACACGAGGTGGTTCCTTATGGAAAAAATAAGAACAAAATATGCAATAAAATTTTTTTATTTAAGGCTTAGTTTTCGAGAAAATCCTATTCGTACGTATGCTGTTACGGCTAAGTACCGGTTCGTCGAGCATCGAGTGTTTATGAACAATGATCTGAGACTTCTTTTAATAGTTATTTGCCTAAGCAGTCAGTTTTCGTTGATCTATCTAACGATGATGTACACGATACGCGTTATACGATGCTCGACGAACCGTAACTTAGCCGTATCAGCATACGTACGAATAGGATTTTCAAACACGATTTTCTCGAAAACTAAGCCTTAAATGAAAAAATTTTATTCCATATTTTGTTCTTATTTTTTCATAAGGAACCACCTCGTGCCCGCTTGTACATGTTATTCGGCCGCATCCTGTATATACACACCTCGAACGACTTCCCAGTATCCCAGTCATCTAAGGTTCAAACGCATTGACATGTTCATGTTAAAATGAATTAGAAACCACTGGGCAATCACCCGCCAAAATCCATTTAAATAGTTTAATCTTTGGCTCTACATACCCCCAAACCCAATATACCTCGACAAAACGATACTGACAGGCTACACTCCCCTAGAATCATTCATCCACCTAGACAGCAAAGGCTATATACAGAATGAAGACAACATCCCACTAATATACCACGCCAAATGAAACAAAAAAACGATAAGACGATACTCTACGACAAAAACTTACCACAAGACAGCGCAAATATACGCCACCACTACACAGACTCTCAAGCATTGACGAAAAAGATAAACACAGACTCAACACTGACAAGTACTGGTGGTTGCAGAGAACTTAAATGATCCCAGTACCTTGAGTATATCATCTTTTATTTAATCGTAAACATTCTAGCCTCTCTGGATGTAACTGGATTTAATTTCGCTTTGTATAGTTTTTTTGGTGCCATTTTTCTATACAAAATATTAAATTTTGCCCCTAGTATAAGTAACTATTCTTAAAACTATCGTGTAAGTAGCAGCGCTACAGGACGCAGATACACGTCATCGTTTGGGGCTCTAAATTTTCAGCAAAAACATTGTTCCGACACTGAGACCTTTCGCATAATGTTTTTAAGGCTTCAAACTATTATTTAAGCCAAAAAAAAAATCGAATTTTTCAATATTCTAGAGTTACCAGACCCCTTAAGTGCGACGGACATTATTTAATGTTAAGATTACGCGAGCTCTATTTTGAGCCATTAGTCTAAATTGTAGTCCTAGTTATAAGTTAGCCGTTTGTACGTTTACGTTTATTGTACCCCCTTGTATATATATTTATAATTGTTTCTTTAGCACAATAAACGTTCGTTAAAAAAAATAGCAGGGCCTGCTAGAAAGCTTTACTGATGAGTCTCCTACGAATTTCCCGAGTTCCTACCCGCAGCCAGCGCCGCCACAGGCCCATTTGTCTGGGCCTCCAGAGGCCCCATTACCATTTTCGTGTCACTCGCTACGTTACCAACAGGCTATAGAAATGAACACAGGAGAAAGTGAGATAGGAAATTACAGGAATTCTTTTGTTTTTTAAATGAATGAAAGCCATACAGTCCAGAATTGGGCACTAAAACTACACTGAAATTCATTCAGTTGTTTAGACTCAATCGTGTTACTAATATACATATGTCCATAAGCATAGTAAAAAGAATTTCTTTTTTTTAATAATTAAAATATAATAAGGGGCCCTTAAAACATGTATTTGAAATAAAATAGATCGCATTATCATCGTTAATAATTCATTAATCGTCAGTTTTGACATGAATGCTGCATTTTTAAACTTCTATTTTACTAACAATTCTTTAAGGAAACTGATTGTGAGTTTCTTAAAAGATTAAATTCGTTATTTTGAATTAAAATTAGTAAAATAATAATTTATTTATTATTTTTATGTGATGAATGTAATTATAAGGTTTAGAAAACAGTTTTTCAAAGAATATTGATAATTGCGTAATGTTAATAGTTTTGAAAATAAATGGTGGAATAAATCAGCTCACAATAAAAATAGGCCTTAAGAATAAAAATATACTGTATGATGTAATAAACACGATGAAATTTTATTAACTGAAAATGACATAATCTCTGGTATTAATCAGCTGATATTTTTCTTTAGGTTACTCTTTGGGTTTTAATATGGATCGGAGATTATATAACGTTTTATTCATCGTTATCGGATTGTCGATAATTCTACCTGAAGGCCATGGAGCATCGCGACCAATCAAGATTGGTGAGTGGTGAACACATTTTTCATAATTACATCAAGAAATTGAGTTATTATACTTGTTTCTGAACCAAGAAAATTCTTTTTTATTGAGAAACTGATTTCATAACATTTTTCCTAGACACTGCTTTCAATATTTTCGTAAGTTATAAGTAAAGTAAATGTTCCATTTATCAACACTTTTGTAATCAATTGTCACTTTAAATGGTAATTAAGTAATTAAATAATGTTAACGAAAAACCTGTTACGTTCAACAACGTAAACGATAAATCGTCGAAAATTTGTCAAGCATAAAATACGTTAACAAATTAACTTTCATAGAATTTTCCTGGAGTATAGCTCAAGTTTTTCTCATTTCCTTTCTTGTAAGTCGGAAAGTAAAAACACCAACGATCCTAAAACCTCGACAAAATGTGTCCCCCAAGAAAATATTGTGCTTTTCATAATATTTGTCTCTTACAAACAAAGATGGAATAATATTTTCCTCTAACATTTCTCCATCGTCAAAAACGAAACACATACAGGGTAGGTCTCGATCAATACTAGCAATAAATCTAAAAATTTGATCGAATTATTCGAATACTTGTAACACAGAAGTTGGCTTCGATTTAAAAGAAAATACGTATGCAATAAAAAATTTTAAAAGTACCATAGAATTTGCAGGAAAACAACTTTAAACTTAGTGTAAATATATTTCAAATACGCCCCTTCTACACTGCTTGAGTTAAACTAAAAACCAACCAATTGAATTTAAATTGTTATTTAAAGGTTATTAAATGTTTTTGTTAAAAAAAAGGTGTCCCTATTCACTGAAATCCCTACAATAATATTCTACAGTGCCTCTTTTAAATAAATGTATTTTATTAAATTATGATGGCATAAAGTTCGTCCGTTATAATGCCATAAAGTAAAGAATACATAGTACTATTTAAATAAGTCAAAGTGACCGGAGCTTTTTATCGAATAGAACAATTTCTCGAAATTTGTATTGTTGCACTTTGTTCTCCCCAAAGTACTCATTAACTTTTATTTGAAACATTTTTCCGCTCGGTAAGATAGGGTAGCGATGTCGCCATTTTTGTCTCGCACGGTGCTCTAGTAGAATTTTAACCAAAGACATTCTTTCTTTTTGCAAACTTTATTTCTATTGCCTGTTTTCATTAATGCGCCATTTTACCCTGTACGTTCATTTCAGCGTTTTTTTAAATTGTATATTCTGGTTTACAATTATTTTTCTCAATTTTCTAAACCTAGAAGCTGGATAAATAAAATGCTTATTTTAATGTAATCATTAGCAACGTCTCAGTTTCTTTTCATGACACGAACAAAATTCAAAGAGGAAGGTTGTTTTGTGCAAATACTTTTACAAGGTTATGTTCTCTTCTGTTGACATTTTTTTGTATCTTCAAAAGAAATAGTATTCTATATGCTTATGGTACAGCAAACGCCCCCTTATACAGCTCATTGAGGTTTCCACTTTTTAATCGTTTGTTTATATGCGTCGGTATTGCAAAATAAATTGTTACCGTGAAACGTAAAATCCAATTAATGAATGTTCATTTATTTTTAAAGTAAGATGCACCGTATTTGAGTAAGTCAATGTTTATCTCGTATTAATTATAAGTAATTTCGATGGTTAAAATTATACTTATTGAATTACTATAGAAAACCTCGGAAAAAACGTATAACCGAAACAAAATGAGAAGGACGCGATTTATCAAACGGACGTTATACAATTACATTTATAATTGTAAATCAATTCTAACAAAAAAGTTAAAAATAATATCCAATAAATATTTACAACTGTTTCATACATACATTCGCTATACAATTTCTGACGTTTGTTATGAATTGATAAAATGTATGTTTTCGTAAAGTTTGACAAATTTTCCGTACGTTTGTCACAATTTATATGTAAATTTACGAAATTACACACGCCCTGCCTAGCTTCTACGAGTAATTACAAGAGAAAAAGAGATAAATGTATTGGGTTGTCCGGAAAGTTCTTACCGATTTTTGGTAGGTGGCGTAAAGACAGGTCTGAATATATCAGAACGATTGAAAACAAATGACATGCATACATACTGTAAAAGATGGTACTTCAGGCATATTTGGAAAAAAATTTGGTTACGATAGGTTAATTTTTGTGAGTTTTATACGCCGTTCAATATGGAAGGAAACAAAGTGCATTTTAGGCATTTGATGCTTTTCTTTTACCGGAAAGGCAAAAACGCCATACAAGCGACAAACAAAATATGCGCTGTTTATGACGAAGGTGCTGTAGCTGAAAGAACTGTGCGTAAGTGGTTTGCTAGGTTTAAAGCTGGTGATTTCAACCTTGAAGACCAAGAACGCCCGGGTAGGCCCCCCACCACTGATGAAAATGAGATTAAAATACTCATCGAGACCAACCCACGCTATACGACTCGTAAATTAGCAGAAATGTTAAATATGTCAAAATCCACCATCCACGACCATTTTATGATGCTTGGTTACATAAACCGCTTTGACGTATGGGTTCCCCACGATTTAACGGAGTAAAATCTAATGGATCGCATTTCCATTTGCGACTTGCTCTATAAACGTAACGAGGAGACATCATTTTTGGAGCAAGTGGTGAGGGGGGATGAAAAGTGGATCATTTATAACAATGTGGAACGAAAAAGATCTTGGGGAAAGCGGAATGAACCACCTCTATCCACCCCAAAAGCCGGTCTTCATCCAAAGAATGTCATGCTCTGTGTCTGGTGGGATTGGAAAGGGATTCTGTATTATGAGCTTTTACCAAATAATAAGACAATAAATTCAGAGAAGTATTGTTCCCAATTAGACAAATTAAAGGCAGCAATTGAACAAAAACGTCCAGAAATAGCGAATCGGAAGGGCGTCGTCTTTCATCAGGACAATGCGCGGCCTCATGTGTCTTTGATGACTCGACAAAAGTTGTTGGAGCTCGGTTGGGATGTTCTACCCCATCCACCGTATTCACCAGACCTCGCACCCTCTGATTTCTACCTATGTATTTCGATCATTACAAAATTCCCTTAATGGAAAAAACTTCAATTCTTTGGTTGATATAAAAAATCATGTAGTTTTTCAGTGAAAAACCTGAGAAATTCTGGAAGGACAGAATTTTCAAGTTGCCTGAAAGGTGGAGAACGGTTGTAGAACAGAATGGCACCTATATAATTCAATAAATGTATATTAAAAGTTAAATTTTCTGCGTTTCAATATTTCATTACTTGTACCGAATCTGCTTGGAACAGTAGAACGGGCATATTTATAGTCAGTCATACGAATCACGTCGAAGCAAGGGACTGAAAACGATTTCTCGATTCTGCACCCCGAGCACGAACTATTTATCTCAGCATCTCGTTACGGTTGATAAAATAGTTTGAAAAAAGTGTAAATTAATTACCAGAGCACTGGGGTCACGATGCAAATAATAATTTAAGGGGACGCTACGTCAAACACGTTCGAGACGCTGTCGCAATTTTAAGAAGACGTTGATAAATTACTGGATAACTTTTCATTGTCTACCATTTCAGAGCATCCTTCAAAGCATAATTATATTTCACGCGTTCGTTATAATCCGAAAGCTTCTACAAGGACGAAATCTAAGGTCTATAAATTCTGTGCTGTTTAAAGCGGAAAAACTTACTTATTATAACGACGCGTTTTACTCGATCGTAAATAATATATAACAATTGCGCGAACAAATTATTCCGAATTAATAAAATTGCAGTTAAATTTCAACGAATATTCGAGGTACAGCTGTGTTGAAAATGCTGGACAGAAAAATTGTTTCGTTGAGTATATGTATATGAATTGAAGTATATTTAATTTAAGATTAAGATATATAGAAATCTTTTAGACCATGCTTAAGAAAGAAACGCGTACAATAAAATGAATGTAAAAATGTAAAAAAAATGGAACATCGGTGCATTATTCCGCAGATATTCCAGTTTTTTGGTTCACGCTCGGTTTTTGAAGTTAACTTTTGTCTAGGCCCCCGGTGCAAATACTCCACCGTGCGACGTACAACAGCGTCGGCTCGCGAAGAATGCAACCGCGAGGCAACGCGCGCGCGAACATCGTTTCGCCGGTACCGCCAGTAAAATACTTACGCGGGTGGAAGTTGTACGCTTCAGAAAAACGTTTTAGGAACACCCAGTATTTCGAGGGATTTTTAGCGTGGCTACTCGACGGCGAATATCCAGTCTGCGACGCATTCGCGTCCGGGGGAATACGTACGAATGTGTGCAGCCAGTGTGTACATATCATGGTAAATGCAGGCACTGCATACGTTGGAACAGACCTCTTATGAAACCCATCCGTTCTTCTCTAAATATTTGGACATTTTCATAAGGGGAGTTCCTGCTAAGCCGGGGCTATGACAAACGCGTACTTCTTCGGTAACCCGCGGCTACGCACGTGACTTGGTGAGAGCAGTCGTGTAATACGGCTGTAAAGTGCTGCCGAACACTGCCGGATGTTTCTAGCCGGTTGTGTAGCCAACGTTGAGATACGTGGAATTTACGCGCCGCCGCTATCGGACGCATTTCGTCTGACGAATTACTACGATTCGACGGGAAAGAACGTCGCATTTTCCGTGCCCTCCGACTGGAAACCGTCGCGAATATTCATATCTTTTCTGTCGGTAGTCGCGCGGGGAATAGTTATTGTATCCGTATCTCGCCGAACCGACAGGGAAAGTATGTCGTATTGTTGCATCACTGACGCAAAATGGTGACTCGTGTTTACCCCCAGAGTCTTGCTTTATTAATATCCGTGTACAAAATCAGTGAAACGTATTTGATTCGCGAACTACTACTACTTCCAATGAATATTGATCTTGTGTGCGTGAACTGTTCCGTTACTAGTGCAATGTTTGTTCGAGTTGATTGGTGCTTACATATGTTGCTTAGTCTATGAAGGAATTGATGAGCAAAATAGTAGTAGCTAAGAAAAGGAAAGGAAAGGAGAGAGGAACGTTTCACTATAGG